AGACTAAATGGATTTAACAGACAGCTACAGAGTATTTCATCCAGCTAGTGCACAATGCACATTCTTCTCAGCAACCTACAGAACTTTTTCCAAAATGGAACATATTTTAGGACACAAAGCAAATCTTAGCAAATGTAAAGTTGAAGTAACTCCCTGTATTCTATCATACCACAGTGTAATAAAACTAGAATGCAACAGCAAAAGAAACTATGGAAAATCTTCAAACACATGGAGAGTGAATTACTCATTGTTGAATGACCAGTGAGTTATCCAAGAAATAAGAGGGGAAATAGAATCTAATGAAAATGAAAATACAACATACCAGAACCTTTGGGATACAGCAAAGGCAGTGCTTAGAGGAATGTTTGTAGCTTCAAGTGCCTATATTTTAAAAAACAAAACAAAAACAAAAAACAGTGATCACAAATAAATAGCCTAATGATTCACATAAAGCTTTTAGAAAAACAAGAACAAGCTAAACCCAAAACTAGTATACAGGAAGAAATAATAAAAACCAGGACCAAAATCAATGTTATTGAAACAAATAAAACACTCTACAAGAAATCAATGAAGGAAAAAAATTGTTCTTTGAAAAGATAAATAAAATTGGTAAACCCTTAGCCAATCTGACTAGAAGGAAGAAGGAAAAGACCCAAATTAATAAATTAGAGATTAGAAAGGGGATATCACAAGACATAACAATGAAATACAGAGGATCATTAGGAAATACTTCAAAAACCTATATTCAAATAAACTGGAAAATCTAGAAGAAATAGATAAATTTCTAGATAGAGCCGGACAACCAAAAATGAACCAAGAAGAGATAAACCACCTAAATAAGATTGAAGCAGTAATAAAGACTCCCCCAACAAAAGAAAGTCCAGGATCCAATGGATTTACTACTGAATTCTACCAGGCCTGTAAAGAACTAATACCAATACTCCTTAAATTTTCCCATGAAATAGAAAGGGAAGGAACACTACTAAAGTCATTCCATGAAGCCATTATTATACCCATTTCAAAATAAGACAAGAATACAACAGATAAAGAGAATTATAGGCCATCTCTATAACTAACACAACACAAACATTTTCAGTAAAATACTTGTAAAGTGAATTCAGCAACACATGAAAATGATTATACACCACGATCAAGTTGGTTTCATTCCGGGATACAAGTGTGGTTCAACATACACAAGTCAATAAATGTAATGCAGCATATAAACAGAGCTAAAGACAAAAAATACATGATCATCTAAATAAATGTAGAAAAAACCTTTGACAAAATTCAACATCCTTTCTTGGTAAAAACTCTGAAGAAACTGGGAATAAAAGCAACACAGTAAAGGCTTATATGACAAAGCTAACAGTCACCATCATACTAAGTGGGCAAAAACTGAAATCATTTTCTCCAAAGTCTGAACAAGACAAAAGTATTCATTCACCCCACTTCTAGTCAATATAGTTTTGGAATTTGTAGACAGAGCAATAAGACAGTGGAATGAAATAAAAAGGAATTCAAATAGGGAAAGAAGAAGTCAAATCATCCTTATTTGCAGGTGATATAATCGTATACCTAAAAAAACACCAAAAAACTTCACCAACAAGCTCTTGGACATCATAAATACTTTTATCAAAATAGCAAGATACAAAAATCAGTAGCTTTTCTATACACCAACAATTAACAGACTGAGAAAGAAATCAGGAAAATAATCCCATTCATGATAGCCTCAAAAAAATCTAGGAGTATGTTTAACAAAGAAACGAAAGACCTCTGTAATGAAAACTGTAAATCACTGAAGAAAGAAATTGAAGAATGCATTGCAAGATAGAAAGATCTCTTATGTTCATGGATCAGTAAAATCAGTACTGTAAAAATGACTACACTATCAAAAGCAATCTATATGTTCAATGCAATCCCCATCAAAATTCCAATGGTATTCTTCAATCAGCCCTAAAGTTTATATGGAAACATGAAAGACCTCAAATAGCCAAAGGAATCCTGAACAAAAATAGCAATGCTGGAGGTATCATGATATCTGACCTCAAACTGTACTATAGAGCCATAGGAATAAAAACAGCATGGTACTGGCACTTAAGCAAACACAAAGACCAATGGAACAGAACAGAAGACTCAGACACAAATCCACCCAGCTACAGCCATTTGATTTCTGACAAAGGACCCCAAACCATGTGTTGGAGAGAGGATAGCCTCTTCAACAAATGGTGCTGGGAGAACTAGATATCTTCCTAAAGAAGATTGAAACTGGACTGCAGTCTCTCACCTTGTACTAGTGTGAATTCAAAGTGGATCAAGATCAAGGATCTTAACCTAAGATTTGAAACTGTGAAACTCCTACAGGAAAGAACAGAGAATATGCTGGAACGCATAGGCATAAGCAATAACTTCCTGAACAGAATTCCAATAGATCAGCAGTTAAGAGAAAGGATCAGCAAATGGGGCTGCATCAAACTAAAAGGCTTCTGCACAACAAAGGAAACAGTCACTAGACTGAAGAAAGTCTACAGAATGGGAGAAAAATCTTTGCCAGCAATGTGTCTGGCAAGGGTATAATAACCAGAATACACAAGGAGCTCAAAAACTAACCCCACAAAGAGTCAGCAACCCATTGAATAAATGGCAAATGAACTGAATAGACAGTTCTCAAAAGGAGAAGTACAAATGGCCAATACATACGTGGAGCTCAACATTCTTGGCCATCAAGGAAACGCAAATCAAAATGACTGAGATTTCACCTCATTTCTGTCAGAATGGCTATCATCGATAACACACACAACAACAAATGCTGGTGAGGATGCAGGGTAAAAAAGAACCTTTATCCACTGTTGGAGGGAATGTAAATTAATGCAACTACTATGGAAAGCAGTATGGAGGTCCCTCAAAAAACTAAAAACAGACTTACTGTGTGATCCAGTTTTACCACTCCTGGACATATACTGAAGGAATGTAAACCAGGATACAATAGTGCCATTTGCACACCCATGTGTATTGCAGCACTATTTACAATAGCCAAACTATGGAAATAGCCCAGATGCCTATCACTGATGAACAAATTAAGAAAATGTGGTATATATATATATATATATATATATATACAATGGATTATATTCAGCTGTAAAGAATGAAATTATGTTGTTTGCTGGTAAATAGATGGAACTGGAGATAATCATGTAAAGCAAAGTAAGCCAAGCACAGGACAAAGGTTGCATGCTTTCCCCTATATGTAAAGCTAGACCTATAAGATAAAGATGCACATAAATACATATATGATCTTACATACACACACACACAAGCATATATATATATAGAGAGAGAGAGGGGAGACAAGATTACAAAAGTGGGTCTGTCTGAGGGGACTATGGGAAGATGGGAGAGGAAAAAAGAATGATAGTGAATAATATAGAAATACATTGCATCTGTGTGTAAAGATGGCATAACAAAATGCACTGAAAGCTGTCAAATAATGGGGGAGCGGGGTGATGGAGAAGGAATAAGTAACAGAGAGTTTAATCTGATTAAAGTATGATATATACATGTGTGAAAAAGCCAGGTGATATCACCTGAACAATACATATATACTTTAAAAAGTGAAGGACAGGAAGGTAGGGTAAAGGAGAGGGAGGTTGAAGGAGGGCAAATATGATGGATGTATTTTATATTCATGTATGAAAATAGAACAATGAAAAATGTTGAAATTATTCTAAGAAAGGGTGGAGGATAGATGTGGGAGAATGATGGAGTGGGTGAATCTAATTAGGACTTATTGTAAACACATATGTAAATGTTACAATGAATCTCTCTGAACAACTAATATATATATGCTAATAAGCAAAGAATATTAATATTGAAAAAAGAAGCTGGGGGGATGACAGCACCTGTCATGCCATCTTGGCCAGCATCATCTACACATACAGCACATCCTTCCAGCCTAAAGGCTGGTGCCAACATCACGCACGTCCAAGCCTGTTGACACCTTCCCTTCGTCTATTCCTAACCTATTTCCTCTCCAGTCATGTCTTTCACTATTTCTGAAGCTTTGGATCTGTAACCCAAGCTTAAACATTGACTTTTCATTTTCTGAGTGTGAACCTTAGCTTGAGACATTGTCCTGGCTTCTGGGTAGGATTCAGCAAATTCCATAATGTGCCCTGATCCTTGAGGGAACCTTATAGCATTATGATTGTGCATCCCACAGGGCATGTAAGAGCCAGAAAATAAATTTTTCTGTGTTCCCTACTAGTTCAAAATAGACTTACTTTTATAATACTGTATTAAGTTTTTCTGCATAGTTATAATTTAATGAAAATACTTGGAGGGCTGGGCATAGTAGCTCATATCTATAATATCAGCTAGTTGGGAGGGAAAGTTTGGGAAGATCATGGCTTGAGGCTAGCCCAGGCAAAAAGTTAGCAAGACCCCATTTCAATCAATAAGCTGAGCATGGTAGGGCATACCTGTGATCCCAGCTTTGCAGCAAGCATAAGTAGGAGAATCATGGCCCAGACTAACCACAGCAAAAACCTCAAGACCCTACCTGAAAAATAAATAAAGCAAAAAGGGCTTGGGGTGTGGCTTAAGAGTCAGAGTGCCTGCCTGGCAAACCCAGCACTGCAAAAAGAGAGAGAGAGAGAGAGAGAGAGAGAGAGAGAGAGATAATATGTAGAAAAACATGGTGGCTTTCAACTACTTTGTAGAATGAAGCTTTAGAATAATACTTGGTAAGTAATTTTTTGGATACAAAATTCTGACTTCATTATGTTATCGAACTAGATTTTTTCTCAATATTGATTATAGCCAAGTGCATAGTTGACTTTAATTTTAATTTTATTTGAAAAACTCTGTTAACACAGATCATTTTTGAGGTAGAGTTTCAACAGTAGTTTATTTTCTGAGTGAACAAAGTTTGTGGAGGAGTTTACAAAGTATTGCTTTGGTAATCTCCAGCCTCATTTCTAAATGTTTCTGTGAATGTTTTAAAGAACCAAACCAAGGAGTGGACAAATTCATGCAAAGGAAGAGATATCCCCTGTTCAGACGATTACTCTCTTATGGGTACCTTGGGAGAAGCTGTGACGATTCGAGCTTGGAATATTGCTGGATTACCTTCTGACTCATTTTCTATTGATAATGGGATCATCATAATGTAAGGAAAAAATTTTTCTCACAAAGATCCTTATTAACTAATCAATAGATATATTTGCCTGCAAACCCTTTTACAATTTTAGGTAGTAAACTTTCAAGTATCAGAAAAATAATTAGGTAATTTAAATATGAATAATCACTTCCTTTATTAATATTGAATCAGTTGAATATCGGTGCTATAGTAAACAGACAAACTAAATTACTTTTGCTTAATTTTTAACCAGCTTTTGGAAAGCAGAGGAAAAACTGCCATAAGTAAGTAAAGTCCAAAATTTTTGTTCCCATAAAACATGAAATTATGTTATTCTAGGTTACTAAACGTGCAGCAGTGGTTCTGGGGTGGTGTTGGCTAGGTTGTTTCAAATTCTGTCCTAGAACCTAATATAGGACAAGTTTTAATCACATGGATACATTTTTGGGTCCTGGACTGACTGGGACTCTCAAGACAATAGCCTGTCTTCTTGGAATCTCCTGGTTAGTAGCTAAATCCCATGAAGACTGCCTAGAAGAACAGTAGGGTGTTCAGCCACACCCACGTTCCACCTCCAGAAATCGAGGCTTCATCCTGTCCCAGTGGGAAGAAATTACCAATGGTGTTATTTCCAAGTGCATGTTACTTTGGGCTTTTTATGAGTGAGCCAGTCTTTTGGGGTATTTAGTTGGTTGGGAATAGCACAAGTACTTCCTTATCATTTGTAGGAACATACCCAAGTCTGTGTTACATGATTGTTGTCATTAGTTGCTTGTTTACCACAGGAAAAGAATTAATATGATAGCTCTAAATTTAAAGTAAAAATTTTAAATGATAAAATAATTAAAAATAAAGTGAAATAGTTAAGGTATGAACTTGAATTATTAAAGTAGAAATAACTGTTACTCTTAATTTTTTAAGACTAGTTACTTAATTTTTAAGACAAGTTACTCTTAACTTTTTGTATGCAGTATGAAAATCATTTCATAAATAAAAACTCTGTGGCTGGCAACGTAGCTGGGCTGGGGGCGTGGCTCAAGTGGTACAGCACTGCCTAGCAAGTGCAAGAACCTGAGTTCGACCCAATGCCGCCAAAAACAAACAAACAAACAAACCCACCACCTTTGATGGGTACATTTCTGTATTCTGTTATGACTGTTCAGTAAATTATCTTGACATATGCATTTCTTTAGAATTTATTTCCTGAATTGTTTGTTCTACAAGTATGTGATGTATGTACAATTTGGTTATAACATGAAACAAGGTAAAATTTGATGAGACCCCATGAATGAAGTTAAAGGAATGTTTACTATTAGATCCTTGAGATGGTTAAATCCCTCCTGTTGGGCCTTTCTGGTAAATAAGGCAAAAAAAGAAAAACTATCACAGTTTCCATTTAACCAAGTAAACCTTACTTAGACAAAATTTTCCAGGAACTATCTTAAACTTAATTACAAGTTTAGATAAAACATTACAAAACTTTCTTCTGGGGGACTAAAATTAAATCCTGGGTTCTGTGATTCAGTAATAAAAATTAATCCAGAAATAACATTAGAGAATGTAAATAAATAATAAAGATGTGCATTAGCTTGCAACTAAAGTAGCAGATTTTTAAACACCTTTTGTAGAGTGATAGTTCATTGCTGAATTACTGGCATGCAGAGGTGATTAATGTTATACTAAATCTTAGAGATTGAAGTATATGGGAAATTCCTGAAATTCTGTAAGTCCAACTTTTATTTTCACTTTTGTGCACAAGTACCAATCAACTTGAGCATGAAGAATAGTCCATTTGTTTTTGGTTTTTTTAACTGATTTTGTTAGTGTTTCTGCTATTGCTTTCCTCCTAGAAAAGAGCTTTGACTTTTCTCAAGCTCTTATAAATATAGCTGGTTACATCCTACAGAGCAGTAATTATGTCTTTGTTTTGATTTGCAATTTATATGCTTTTGTTCTACCTAGCAGGGCATCTGTAAACAGTCTCCATCTGAGGCCATATTGCATCTTATTTTCTAACAAACAAATGTACCTTTTCTTTTGAATCCAGTCATATTTTAAAAATAATGGAACTATTGATGAATATTTCTCTTTTTAAGATTGTAAAACTTTCTTTTTAATGTTTTCATTAGTATATATTCATTGTACAGGGTGTTTCATTGTGACATTTCCATATAGGCGTACAATGTATTCTGGTTTGGTTCCTCATTTTAAAACTTCCAAGGATTACTATTCAAGACAACACACACACACACACACACACACACACACACACACACACGCACATGCGCACATACACTGCAGGAATGACAGAGGTAGAAAACAGTGTAAATGAGTCATAACCCTTATATTTTTGCTATTTATATAAAAAAATACTGAAATATCAGTAAAACTTGTGATTACAACTTCACTAACAAGAGCATATTAGCATTGTTCATTATTGCCTTTTTGTCAATATGTGTTGGTAATCTTCTTCTGAAAGGTTTCTGAAGGGGACCATTTTGAAATATCAGATTATTTACTTGCACAATGTCTCCTTCCATTCCCTAGAAATTCCTGCTTGATAATCATAATACCCAATGTTGAGCACTTACTAAGGGCCCAACCCTGGGTTAAGTGCTTTTTTTCATGCTATGTTGGCTGAGTATAGCACTGGTTGTTTAGGAAAACTGTAAGAATCTCTAAAGTTTTGATAAGTTATAGTGTAATTAAGTTTTAGGGCTGACACCTAAAAGATCCTTGGTTAATCAGAATTTCAGAAGTTAGTGATAACATTAAATATAATGGGATCATATCTGAACATTTCTTGGGTAAAGGATTAGGATTGCTTAACTGCTTAGTAGGTAGATCAGACCAATGTTTAATATAACTCTACTTCTTATGAAAGCAAATTTTCATTTCAGTAGCTATAATAACTAGAGGACCACCTACCTTCTCTTGTCTGTTTTTATGCATCTGTATGTGTGTGTGTGTATGTGTAGAAGAAAACAGCAAAGCTCCCTGAAACACACCACCATTATGTGTTCAAATTCTGTGTCCTGCATGTAGACCTCTGTGAACATGTATTATCATTGTTAGAAGTCTGTATTTTGCAAAAACTGGAAAGAGCACCAAATAACAATTCTGTCTAGACAATAACAAAAGAACAAACCTGTCAAAACCTGGAACGGTGAGTGCTATAAAATTTCAGTTTCCATTTGGGAACAACTGGCTTTTAAAGCATTTGTAGATTTAAGAATGTTTGATGGAGAAATAAGACAGGAAGAGTGTGAGGAGAAAAGTATTTCCTTGTCAAAAACTAATGCAAAATAATGGTGGAGAAGAAGTAAGCAAGTAAACAGAGTACTTGTCACTTTGAATACAGGATTTCCTTTCATTCAAAAATTGAAGCTATTTAAATCAACATTTGCTGCATATTATAGGCTCCTACAATAATTGTTGGTATATCTTATTTTAAAATGTGCTATTATCTTTTCTATCTTCCATGAAGAATATGTTCTTTGAAATTTTATTCATCTAAAATTCTATGTAAGTCTGGTTCTGGGGTTTGAACCCAGAACTTTGCACTTGCTGAATAGACTACCACTTTAGTCATGCCTCCAACCCAGAAACCCCAATTTGTAGAAACAATTATAAACTGAAGTCACATTGTCCTGTCTTTGAATCAAAAAGGTATCACATGGTGAACAGTTTTTAGTGAAAACAAGTTTGATATAGTTGCTAACTTGGTACAGAACAACATCTGTGTGTAATTTACATAGACCTTATACACAAAGAGAGAGAAGGAGAGATGGGATACCCACTTCCTCCAGAACAATTTGATGAAATGTTACCCTTTGTCCATCAAGTTTTCCTTTGCATCTTTGTTGAAAATCAGTTGTCCATATGCCTGGGGTTTATTGCTAGACTCGTTATCTGTGTCATGACCTATTTGTCTTGGTTGTGAGTACATATTGCCACTATTGTCAAAGCTTCACATGAAGTCTTCAAGTCGGGAAGTGTATCTTCTAATTTTGTTCTTCATTTTCAAAATTGTTTTGTCTAGTTGTTACCTCTTAATATAAATTTTAGAATCAGATTTTAAATAGCTACGGAAAGATCCTTCCAGAATTTTGATTGGACTGAATTGGTAATATAGACCAACTTAAAGTAGTTGACAACTTAATAACTCTTCTGATTCATGCTCATAGTATATCTCTCCATTTATTTAGGTCTTTGATTTCTTTCATCAGCGTTTTACTGTTACATTTATATATAGTATTTAATTTTTGTGTGCTATTATAAATGGCACTTTAAATTTTTTTGGTTCCATTGTTCATTGATCATATTAGGAAAAGAATTCCTATTTTCTGGAAGAGATTTTTGCATGTTGACTTTGTATCTTGTAAATCTTTTAAAACTCATTTGACTTTTTCTGTAGGTTTGTTACAATATTCTATGTAGACAACTGTCCTATCTGAAAATAGTGACAATTTATTTTCTTTCTTTCTAATCTGTATGTCCTTTATTTCTTTTTCTTGGCTTATTAAACTGACTGTGGCTTCCAGTGTAATGTTGATTAAATTGGCCATTGTTACCCACTCAATCTAAGGAGAAAACAAACACCTGTGCCATCACATGTGGTATTAGTGGTAGGTTTTTACTGCAGTCCTGTGTTCTTTTTTATTGGGTAAAACAAATTCCCTTCTGTTTCTAATTTGCAGAGGACTTTTAGCATTAATGGATGTTAACTTTTATCAAATGTTTTTTCTGCGTCTATTGAGATGATTTTACAGATGTTTATGTATTATCTGATAATATGGCAAATTATATTAGTTAGCTTTGCATTCCTAGGATAAACTCCAGTGGTCATGATGTACTCTCCTGCTTATATATTTCTGTATTCAATTTGCTAGTGTTTTATTGAAGATTTGTGCGTTGATGGTCATGGGAGATATTCATCTATGTTTTCTTTTATTTAATGTCTATGTGATTTTGGTATCAGTAATGCTGGTCTTAAAATAGGAATTTGGAGGACTTTTGTCCTATTTTCT